GGCCCATTGTCATCCTCATAATTATCATCATCATCATCATCATCGCCGCCGTCGCCGCCGCCGCCGCTGCTTTCAGTAAAGGCCTGATTGCAATAGCTAATTAGCTTTCCCCTGGCTCGCCCGCTGACGTACTGCAGCTCGTCGTTGTAGTACTTTTGCTAAAGAGAAGGTGGCAAAAAGATAGACAAAGATGATGAAAATATAAACAAAAAGACTAGTGACTACTGACCAGAAAAACTCGTCGAGAGAAGCGGCCGCAGTCAGCGGCGGCAGAGGCCTGAGCGCCGGAAAATCCGTCCTTCAACTGGTCCAGAGTGGCCGTCGAGGTGGACAGAGGTGGTCTGTGGTGGTGATGATGAAGAAGATTTGAAGAAGAAGAAGTCTTCAGCCGACCAGCGGCTGCTGCTTTTTCTCCTCCTCCTCTTTTGCCTGCATAAACTCGCTTTAGCCAGCGAATTTTGCGTCGACCGCCGGTAATTGGCGGCACCGAGATGAAGGAGGGGCCGAATCCTCCTCCTCCTTCTTTTTCTTCTTCTTCAGTCGAGGACAACCAGAAAGGCGGCGGCAGCGGCGGCGGTGACGGCGAAAATCGAAGACGACGCTGATGAAAATGATGACCAGGAACAGGGCCAGGAACAAAGCGGGGACTTCGATGAGGACGATTATTATGGTTGCGATTACGACGATCACCACCGCCACCTCGATGACCACCTTGTCCATTGCCGTTATCTCCTTGTCCACTGCGACGATTAATAGCAGGCCGAAAATGCGATGAAGAGGCAACAGCAGCAAAAGGAATTGCTTGAGGAGCGGTGGCAGCAGCAGCAGCTCTGTTGATGCCGGCTCCAACTCGGTTATCCACCACAATGAGCCCATTATCGCCGCCAGTCAGATTGAAGCCGCCGACGACCAAGTTCGGATTCGGATTCAAAACCTGCTGATTTTGATTGGACCAGTGCATCGTCGAGGAGGAAGAAGAAGAAGAAGAAGGGGCCACATACGGCGAAACAGAGGCGGCCTGTTGAGCGGCAGTTGCCATGGCAGCGGCGGCCGCTGCCATGGCCGCTTGGATGTTTGCATTCGCCATTGAGATTCGATGGTGGTGGTGATAGTGGTGGTGGTGGTGATGATGCTGCTGCTGCTCACTGTTGTAGACTGATCAGCTTTCACAGCTTGGACAGACACAGACACTGTCAATTGCAGGCAACAGCAGCAGAGTCGGAAAGAAGTTCGACAATGGCGAAAAAACACGAGAAAGTGAGCCTGTGAGTCAGTGGTGGCAATGTTTCTGTCTGCTCGCTTTCTGTCAATGACTGTCGGCGATTGTTGCACAAGAGAGGAAAGAGAAGTCGACTATTTTGGACGACAGGCGAGATTAAAGCTGGGTGGATTAGGAATGGAAAGAGAGAGAGAGCAGAAGAGAGAGAGAAAGAGAATTTAAGCTAGTGCACAAGAGAGAGAGACAAATAGAGAGAGAAGAACGAACATGAGAATCACAATTAATAGGAGAAAAGAAGAGCAGGCACCAATTATTAAAAGCGGACAGGAAAAAGCAGCAAAGTCCTGCTACTCGAAAAAGTAAGCCGATCTAACCAGCAAAGTATTGGTATGCAAATTTTGTCACTAAAAAGGAATAAAAAACAATACCTTTGCTCTGCTCCACACTCTCATCTCCTTTTATACTGCTTTAGCTCTGGTTACTGTCACTGCACCATTTCCAGAGCCCAGCGCCCAGCAACTTCAGAAGAAGAAGAAGAAGAAGAAGCCTCGGAGCATTTCTTTCCGATACGGGCGCCGGCGCGAGAAGTTTGGCAGTCAGGCGACAACAACATTCAGCAGAGTAGTACTGTGTCGCCTAGTCATTAGCAGCCGGGCGGTAAGATGAAACGAAAAGCCAACCGTGCACATCAGTGAAAGGTAACTAGCACAGGTCTTTAATTAAACTAAAATAAAATAAAAGAATAAACCAGGGGGACAACCAGATAAAAAAGAAAAAAGTGAACCAGAACGAGAACAAAAGAGAGCAATGAAAGCCGAAGAGATGCTCAGTTCAGGTGAAAATGCCGACGCACACAAAGAGAGAGACAGGCAGGCAGGCAGGCAGGTGATCTGGTCACCTGGACGGCGCTAAATGTCGCCTAGGAGTAACCAAAATCGGGTGAAATCGACCGAAGCAGAGCGAAGAAGAGAAAGGTGAGCCTGCGGCGGCAACGGCAAAAAGCTAGCATCTGCTGATGCGGCTGCCTTCCGAGGATGCCGATGCTGCTGCTGTTGCTGTACAATGGCGGCTTTTTCAAAGGAAAAAACACCTAAAACGAGGCAACAAAAGGTTTTGTCAGTTAAACAGTGCGGAAAGTGGCGAGAGAAAGTGAATCAGTGCGGAAACAGCCAAAGTGCTAGGAAGGGACAGGATAGAAGACGCCAAATGAGACTAAAGGTTTTGCCGACTACACAACCGGACAACCAGGCAGCAGCCAGCAACCAGGCTGAACAGCAGCACACGAAGCCTCTTTACTGTGCACCAGGTTAAGTGGAGGTAATAATAATAATAAGTGCTCAGAGCTCAACGGCACAGCTCAGGCAAACTTTTCTCAAAGCAGCTTACTGGTGAGTGAATGGGTGGATGATGGTGTTTATAATAATGCTAAACACTTGGCTGGAGAGATTAACTGAGGAAAGGGGAGAAATTTAAATTAAAAGCCAAAACAGTTTTTGTACCGGCTAAAGGCCATACTCGATTTACTGAAACGTGGGCTTTCCTGCGCCGTCCCCCAAAGCATGTGTTTCAATGGGATTCGATATGATCCTTTAGGGGCATTTATCTGAAGAGCTACGCAACAGATTGGGGTGATGTAAAAAACAAAAATAAAGTTAAAGACTTGATCTAACTTTTTGTGGTTCAATATTTGAGTGTAATGTACCTAAAGGATCATACCAAGTCCCATTGAAACACCTGTTTTGTGAACGGCGCAGGAAAGCCCACTTTTCAGTAAATTGAGTATGGCCTTAAGGGAGAGCAGTGTGCATTAATTAAAACTTTTTCTGTTCAACATTGCTTCAACGCTGAATTAATTTATTTGGCTAGTAAGTGCGCATTTTAGCTTTTTTGCGATACTGAAAAAGCAAAAAGTGTAATAAGAACTCGATTGGCAGTAGCCAAAAATAGAACTGACTGCAAATAAATTAGTTCCGGCAATTCAGTGGTACATGGCACACCATCGTGGACTGATGACCTGATCACTCACTTACTTTTCAGTTGCTGCGACCTTTAACTCTACGGACCGACCGAGCGCGCGCGGTCATTTTCTAAGAAGTAAAGTTAAAAGTAGAAAAAGTTCTGGTTGACAGGCAGTTAATTGTAACAGTACCTCGCTGACTGGCTGGCTGGCTGGGCCAATATATTGGCAAACAAAAAGAGCAGTGAAACAGAGTGAACTACTTGCCAATAAAAAAAAACCGAACAGAACACTTTCCAGGGGCCAATCGGGCCAGCCCAGGCTCAAATGCTGTTGCCGCCGATTTTCAGCAGAAAAAAGCTGTCTGGCAGCAATAAATCCGTCAAACACACACACACACACTGCTGACCACTCATTTACTGCAGCTGCAATCTTTCTCTTTGGTGGATTTCCTCGAACGAAGCAAAACTGAAAATGAGCAGTTGAGTGAGTGCGAGGGCCATTGACCACTGCCGAGCAACCCTGCTGCCCTGTTGACCCCTGCTTGTCCTCTGGTTTCCCTTTGGCCTCTCTCTCTCTATCTCTCCGGATCATTTGGTCATTATATCATCCAAGTGTCATCTTGCTTAATTACTCCCCACTGAGGCTGCCTCTCCCTCTTCTTCTCTTCTTCAGTGTCAACTGTGTGTGAAGTATTGACCCAGCAGAGCTCAATTGGCTAGTCAAAACACACATAGCCCAGTGTCATCCCCGGTCATGGCCACTTTCAAAGTTACACTGTGTGCTCTATGTGCCACATGAGAATCATGCCAGTGTAAGACACGTGTGTGCAAGTTGGCCAGTTGGCCTGGCCAACGGCTGACGGAAAGTCGGCACGAGCAAAGCTCACTTTCTTGTCCCTCTCTCCTTCTCTTGAAGCCTGCAGGAGATAGCTCGACGCTCAAAGAGGAGATAAGCAGCTCGAGGAGCACCACTCCGCGGTGTAAGATGATCTGCCATTCACGGCTCTGTCTCTTCTTCTTCTCTTCTTCTTCTCTTCTTCTTCTTCTTCGTCTTCTTTCCTAATGACTGCTGGACGACTTCTTCTCCGTCCTGGGCAAACCGTGTTGGGCAGACTCAAATGGTGATGATAATGTTGCAGTGTCATCTTGCCGATTGCTGTCTCTCTGTTGCTGCTGCTGTTTCTGCTGTTGTTGTTAAGGGTAATGGTAATGGCAATAGTAATAGTAACGCGACCAGTTAACTGAGTGTCAATGACCCATGGCAGTTTTGCCAATCAGACACGTACTCAACAGGGCTCACCACTTAAAAATGATAGTAATAAAAAATGCATTTTTGTGTTTTGATTTCCCAGTCACAGTATTTGATTACCTAGAGTGATTGTCTAATGTATTGCAACACTGATGATAAATGTAGAGTGATTGAACGTGCACACACACAAATACATTCAAACATGTTTTTTTACTTTACTCGAATCATTGTCTTTCAATTTCAAATCAATGACAAAGCACTTCAGAAAAAAAGAACAAACAATACCGTTGGAGCAAAACTCCTGATTTTTATTGTTTTTAAACTGTTCACAAAAAAATAAAGTAAAGTCAGAATTAAAGGGACAGATAGAGATAAAGAGAAAGAACGAGAAAGGTGCACACTGGCATAGAGCAGTATTTTGAATTTTGAATTTGGAACAAAGTTTTTCACTAAAACTAATTAGGTTAGGTAATATTGAATTGTCGCACTTACGTACTGCAGTCCATTTAGTCAGCTAATTATCGTCAGCATCGCCGTCGTTGATTGCTGCTCGTTAGTCGTTAGTCACCGCTTTCACTGCTTGAAGTGACTCTTCTTCTCAGCTGAAGAGCCCGAAGCAGCAGCAGCAGCATCGCCGATTTTTAGGCGGCCCATGCCGAGATCTTCAACCTCTTTCTTCTCGTCCTTGCCCTTATCCTTATCATTATCATTATCCTTATCACCATCACCGCGGCTGACGATGGTGCGAAAGGTGCTAATGCTGCTGTTGCTGCTGCTAGACACGCTGCCAGCATTCTCCCGGCGCCATCGACGACTCTCCTCCAGCCACTGCTCCACGGCGGATTGACGATCAATGTTTCCCGAAAAGGAAGCAGACTTGAGGATGAAGACCTCGTCATCATCGTTCCCCTTCCCCTCCTTCTTCTCCTCCTCATCCACATCCTTAGGCTTATCCTTATTCTTATCAGCAGGTGACTCCTGTTGAAAGCGAGGATCGACCAGTCGCTTGCCGGCGGAGAAATTGACCAACAGACGGCGGACGGCAGAGCTCACCGGAACCTTACGATCCATAGGCGCCACCAGGATGGAGCGTTTCGGAAGCTGGGCGGAAGTCTTCAGAGTGGGCCGCGTCTGCTGCTGCTGCTGTTCCTCCTTCTCCTTCTCCCTCTGGAACACTTCTTCCATCATCAGCATCATCTGCTTCTTCCTCTTCATCGCCTCCTCCTCCAGATCCAGCGGACGTCCTTCGCCAAAGGAGACCACCTTTTTAGCTCGAACCGGCTCCGACGACTCTGACGGCTCGTCCAGTCCATGGCCGGACATGAACTGCACCAGCTTGCCGAAGCTCTCCAGCGTCGCCTCGCCCTGGGCCAGTCGTTCCGCCTGCTTGTTCAGCTCTTCCTGCTGTTCCACCTTCTGCTGCTGGGCAATGGCCAGTCGCATCTGGTCCATGACCAGGCGTTTGTGGCGGGGGCAGCACTTGCGAAAGTAGGCGTTCGGGTGACTGGGCAGGTCCCGCTTTTCAATTTCATCCTGTTGCTCCTGCCAGGTTTTCTTCGGTGTCTGCTTGGCCTGCTTCTCATCCGGCTGCTCATCCTTGGCCTCCTCCTTCTTTCCGTCATCCGTCTTTTTCTTCTTCTGCTCCTGCTCCTCCATGCGGTCCACCATTCGGTTCCAGGTGTTCAGCACTTGAAGGTAAGGTAGGAGTGAGAAAAAGAGGGGAAAAACGTACAAAAAGTATAGTTTAGTAACGAGAGAAAACAAAGGTTTTTGGTGCTGTTGCAAAAAAATCGCAAAAAATGCAAGTTTTTTGGGACTGCTGCAAAAAGCGAGCTCACTTACTTCTAATTTCCTCTTGCGAGAGCTCTTCAGGTGGTGCTGGTGGCGCTGGTTTAGATGTATTGGAATTTGCAGCGGCAGCGGCAGCGGCGTCTCCTTTTATTGTGCCAGCGCCTGCCGCCGCCGCCGCCGCCGCCGCCGCCGCGATTTTTGGCTCATTTCGTGCAGCAAAACGCGGCGATTCAGTGGAAGCGTCGCCAGGGGCAGCCTGGTTAGCAGGATTACCTGGAGCGAAACTGCCACGTGTTTCTGCTGGCTGAACAAAGCCTGAATTTGCATTGTTCTGCTGCTGCTGCTGCTGCTGCTGCTGCTGCTGCTGCTGCTTCTTCTCCTGCTGCTGTTTCTGCAGGTGAAGGTGACAGTAGGGATGAAAGCAGCGGCGCCGAGCAGGGGCGCCGCAGATGAAGAGGACGCACGGGTAGCTGAGCGGCGTCTCGTCGTAGCCGTCATCCTCATCATCATCAGGATAGAAGTACTTGAAGTAAGCGGAGCGAGGAGGAGGAGGCTGCTGTTGCTGTTGCTGCTGCTGCTGCTGCTGCTGCTGCTGCTGCTGGTCGTTGCCATGGCGCCCAGTGCTGGTGCTGGCGCTGGTACTGGCGCTAGTGCTAGGCTTTCGCTCACTTTTCTCCACTTTACTGGAGTCATCATCGGTGGCAAATCTGGGGTCGATGGTGGAGCGCACAGCAGTTATGTCATCCAGGTAAGAGCTGCTCTTTTTGTCGCTCATGATGCTCAGTTTTTTTTCTGATGGTGATGACGGTGAGATGGTCTTTAGATGGAAAAGAAATGTTTTGAAGATGCTGAGATACGATTCGGCGAGTGGCCACGTCGTCTTCCTGAGGGCACAAAAGCGGACTGTTCACTGGCAATTAATTTTTCTGTTTTGGCTGAGCTGGTGATTGTGACGGTGATGGTGGCCACGACAGTGATTTATTGTGTGACCTGTTCGGTGGTGTTCGGTGGTGTTTAGGCTTTGCTGATGCTTCCCCTTCCACTCAATCGATTGAACTGATGAGAACTTTTGCACACACACACACACTTTTCTCTGCCAAAAGAGGAGCTAAAGGAACAGGTGCTCTCTGGAATGAGCAGGACTGCAAAAGAAGCGTGGAAAATGCAAAAGTCAACACACGCACACACACAATAATCAATAAAAAACAACTGATGAGCTTGAGAAGAAGAGAAAAGATGAGGAGAAGGTGAGAAATCACCACCTCCAATCGATGGCAGTGCACTAAGATGTTTGATGAGTACACTTCTTCAGAGGTTGGTGATGGTAAAGTCGTTTCTCAAGCTGTGACCCTTCCTCGGCAGAAACTGACAGTCAAGTGAGCCTGGTGGCCTGCCTGGCGACAAGGTTATAAGGGAAAACGTAATGGTTTCTGCTGCTTCTGCTGCTAGTGATGATTTCCTCTCGGTTGCATCTGTCTTCTTCTTCTTTTTTTTGGTGCTGATGCTGCGACAGATGTTGACTTTTTCTCCCTCGCAGTTAACCGCTGCTGCTCTTATGGCTGCATCACCCTTCTTTTTGATGGTAGTGCTGATGAAAACCCGTCTTTCTTTCTATCTGCTTGACTGACTGTCTATCTCCTTCTCTGTCTGTCTGTCTGTCTGGTTGTGACTGTTTCTGTCTGTCTGGTTTTTTGCGCCTGGTGAAAGCTGAAAGTGCACTTTGCTCACCAGGCGCAAACCGATAGCACCCATCACCACCACCACCACAGCACATTAAAGTGTTTTTATATTTATTTGCCCAGTGATGTGAAGAGTGTTTCAAGTCTACCAAGCAAAGGAAAAGGGAACGGGGAACAAAGACAAGAGAGTCAACCAGACCATACTGGCAGGCAGTCACCAAACGACGATGTGATGAGGCACCATTAAGGATGGCGATAATTAAAAGTATTAGAGTGAGCAAATGATGTGTGATGTGAGTGTGCCCCTGAGTTTGTTTGAGTAGAGTTGAGTTGGCATTCTTCTTCTTCTTCTTCTTCACAAGTCAGCCCCTGCTAGTTAGCCTGGCTAATTATAGCCAAGCAGTTTAGATAGTTTGCTTCACATCTTCCCTTTTTTTCTTTGCTAAATAGATTCTGAATAGTGAAGAAGTGAAGAGGGAGTAATAAAGAAGAAGATGAAAAGTCAACCATGACAAAAGAGAAGAAGAAGATGAAAAAATGCACAGTCGGTGAGCACACATCAAAGGGCGCAACGGGCGGCAAAAGGGTTTCACTGTGCAAACAAACGAGCTTTGTTTGCTATTGAGTTTTTATTGTTCATTCTCTTTTGATTAGATTCACCCAGTCAGTTACTACTGCGTCTACTGACTACTGTGCATTAGGCAGTGAGTGAATACAGTGGTCTGCAAGTTGTAAGGAGCTGCTCAAATGAAAAATCATCTTTTGAATTTCTGGGCATTTGTTTGCTCATTTAGCAAAGCATAACTCTATTGGCGCGGTTAGTCAATATTAAAAGCATAACTCTCTTTCTGCTTTGTGCTTTTGCTTTAAGAGAAGTTCGATTCTCTTTTTGTCTTTTGATTTGCATTTGCATTGACTACTAAAAGCTTGTCATTTGGCGTTTCTGCTCTAATTACTCTTGACTGCCCAAGCTCATTCCCCGAAAGGCCTCTCAACGACTGCTAACCAATGGGCAAGCTGAAAAGCTCACCACAACTGTGCAATATGTGCAAATTCCAGGCCATTTTAGGCTGCCTTCTTTATCCTCAATGCAATCACTGGCTTGTGAGATTAGGAGTTCTCCCTTTCTTAGAAACACTTTTTTAGTTGAACAAAACTGAGATCTAAATCAGCGAGAGCAGGATTAGCAACACGGTAACGACGACCACCACCACTACCACAACAAGATATTATGATTTCAGATCTAGACGCCGGGCACAAAGTCAGACAACACGAGTGCAACAAGATTACCATAACAGTGTCTGCAGAGTGCAGGGTGCAGGGTGCACACACACTACGGCTCAACTCAACGGCTACACTGGGGCAATAAATCTGCCGGGGTAATTAAAAGAGAAAAGAACAGAGCAGAGCAGAGCAGAGCAGAGCAGAGCAGAGCAGAGCACGGGGAGATAAAGCTGAACTGAGCTGAGCTGAACACACACACACTGATTACTGACTCAGAGCAAGGCGACACACAGTCACACACACTGGCACAGGCAAACACTGATAGAGATGACTGGGACAGAGACCACACAGGCGACACAGCTGCAAAACCAGCTAATAAATCGTGGTAGACAGATAGAAAAAGAGAGATGAGGAGATTTGAATGATTGCATAACATCACACACACTGTAGCAGCAGCAGCAGCAGCAGACACTGACAGACACAGGTCAACATCGTCACATGGACTGCCTTCTCAACTGCTCTCTTTATCGCCAGAGATTTGCCGCCAAAACTGTCCAGCGTTGTCGATTGCTTTTAGAAGATGCCGCCCAAAGCAGGTCAATTTGTCGCTTCGTTTTTTGTAGTAATTTTTTTTCGCTGAAACCCAGTGATCTAACCGTCCAGCCTTGGCCCTCAGCTTTATTATCTCCACTGGCCTCTCCTTTTCTTGGGCCTGGACCAGGACCTTCTTCTTCTTGAGAAAAAGAGCGAAATCTTGGGTTTCAGTCTGGCGAGACCGACTGAGACTCTCTGGCAGTGGAGACTCAACTCCAAACTTAAAATTCTGAGAAGAGAGGGTCATTAAAAAGATTAGCAGGCGGCGGCAGTGCCATAGTGCCCAGTGTGTGTGTGTGCTCAATTGCAAATTCATTTTAATTTGCAGGCAAGAACAGGCCCAGAAGAGGGACAATTAGCACACAGCACCAATTGGCCGGCAAGTGTGGCCTTGTGCCTGTGTGCTTGTGTCTTGACGTAGCGTGAGAACGACTCAGCCTGACTCAGTCCGTTGGTCAGCAACAGCACCGTCAGGTTGCACAAGCATTTGTCACACACGCATACAGCCCAGCAAACTCCTCATGAGAAAGGATGTCAGCTTCTTGGAAGAGGTACTTCTTCTTTGCTTCGTTTCTTCGTTTCCAGCTTTGCACTGCTTTCTCACCAACGGCTCGTGATGACTACTACTACTGATGGCACTTGTGCAGTGTTGCATTCTACTGGCGGTAATTTTGGTGCCTCTAGCTTCGAAGTACTCTACTCTTGCTGTGCTCATGAAAAGGGCCTTGAGCACATCTGTTCGATTGCGATCATCACTGGCCGCCACCACCATCACTCTGGGAAACTTTTTACCGAGTGATGGCTATTACTCATTCTGGCAATCCACTTGATAAATCTAGTCCATCGCCATTCTACCTAATCGACATTCTGATTTTTCACTTTCAATCAGAACTTTGAACATTTGATCGGTTTTAATTTTGAAAATCAATTTAATTAATTGTGTAGTGTCGAGTGCTTGCACTTAGTCACCGCAGTACAATTGAAATATTTGAATTAATATCAATAAATGAAGAGATTAAGATATAATAGTGGCAGATTAACAAAAAGATAGGCAGCGCCTATAATTTGCTTCTTAGTAGTAGTAGTAGTAGTAGTAGTACCTAACTAGAACCGTAGCATCTAAGTGTAAAACAAGCAGGGAGGCACAAACACACACATCTCTGGCTTTTCTCCTCTTCTTTTTCCTATCCCTCTCTCCTCTTTGCAACAATGTTGCAGTTGTCCTGTAAAGAGAGATGCCCCAGCAGCAGCTTCTTCTTCCTTCTCTCTGTCTATTTGCTTGTCTGCCTCTATTTCTGTGTACTTTTGTGTGCCTGTGTCAGGCAGTCAGACAGACAAAGAGAGGAGAAAAGCAGACATAAGTGGAAAGTGCTCGTCGCCTGAAAAAGCATACAAAAAACTCAAACAGATCACTGCTGACCATTGCCGACTGGCGACTAAGCTTTGTTCTTTTGTCCTATCGTTTGCAAACAAACAAACAAGCCAAACTTTTATGATAAAAGTATTACAAAGTAAAAATAAAGATCAGTTTTAATTGGAACATTTCACGCAATAGTTTACCTTTTAGTCAGAAGTTAGTCTACTGTACCTTGAATTATGATTGGAGCTAATGAAACACATTTCTTATAACTGATGAATTGCTTCTACTTGATAAAGTTGCGACTTTGATTGAACTGTGTGTTTCAATCATCATTGACATCATTATCATTATCATGGTCATCATCAGGAAGGTACTGCGGCGGAATGGCCACTGGAATGCGAGCTCGGCTGAGCTCCTCGATGATGGCAGTCAAAATGGCGACTCGATCTTCGGCGCTCATAGTGGCAGCCTGCCGGCGAATGGCGGCAAAGTCGACGACAAAAAGTGGTAGTTCAGGCTGGTCCTGGTCCTGGTCCTGGTCCTGGTCCTGGTCCTGGTCCTGGTCCTGGTCCTGGTCCTGGTCTTCCTGGTTGTCAGAGTCATCAAAAATATCATCGTCATCATCATCACTGTCAATGTCACTGCTACTGTCACTGGCGGCTGCCATTGAAAAGTCGTGGATATTGTTTTCATCTTCGTCACTATCATCATCATCACTGTCATCACTATTCTCATTAGTGTCATTATTTTCACTATCATCTCTTTCTTCTTCTTCTTCCTCTTCTGCGACATTGACGTCATTGACCACCATCAGATCAGCTTCATTCGGATTTTCTGGATTTTCCACCAAGTTGACCTGATCAAAAAAGAAGTGGTAAAATCATTACATTTGTAAAATATAGCATTTGAAAAGTAAATAGAAACGCGACTTACCATTTTGAAGGAGTTGTGAAAGGTGTCACTGTTACTGTCCAGTTGTGTGTCTCTTTGGAGTTTTTCAGTTGTTTATAAAATGATGATGATGATGATGAAAGTGATATTGAAGTGCAAACCCAAAACTCTTACTCTTTTAGAAGAAAAAGGAGAAGAAAGGCGATCATCAACAAACAATCGTAACAGTTAAGACAAAAGCGGCTAAAAGTACAACTAGATTAAATTAAACTTTAATTTGTGGCCGTACTATTTTTTACCGTTTTCAGAATGAGTGAGTGAGTGAGCTATTTGAGCTGCTGCTGCTGATCCAAGCTATTGACTGAACCCAAAAGTTGGCGTCACTGTTTTTTTTGCACAAACTGCAGCCGTCAGTGGTCCCCAAACAGAACTAAACTGCTGCACCCCAAAACAAGCAAGTCAAAAAAGACAAAGAACAGACTCGTCGTCAGCAAGATTGTGTGGGGGGGGGGTTGAGCAGAGGGTAATTAGGTGCAACAGCAGTTCAGACAATTAGTGCTCAATTAGTTCAGTGCTTGTGAGGGCAAAAACCAACAAACAAAGAGAAAGAGAAAGAGAAAAAGCGATGCAATGAAGTGCGATTGAAATAATGGTAGTGGTAGTAGTGTGCTCCCCACAATGGACAAACAAGAGTCAAAGAAGGAGAAGAAGAAGAAGAAGAAGAAGAAGAAGAAGAAGAGCAAAGTGGCTCGTAAATTCTGACAGGCAGCTTTTTCAGGCCGTCGCCTGCCGACGTCGTTCTCTCACCCTCCGATTTGCCTCGTAAAGTTCTTTGAGCTCTTCTTCTTCTTCTTCTTCTTCTTTGGTCATTTGTTTTATTGACTGAACATAAATTGCGGCTGCTGCTTCTGCAGCTTCTGTTTTGTAGCAGAGCCATTTACTTACTCGAGCTCACTGACTCATTCAGTTAGTCAGTCAGTCAATCACCTTCGTTTGGACGGACACATTTTTATTGAATAATCATCATCAATGCAAGAGGCATAATAATGTCATAATATATGAAGTAATATAATATTGATGTGTGTAAGAGAATACAGAGTAGAAACAAAGAAGAGGAAGAATAGGGGGAAAAGGACAGAAAAAGACAGAATGAAATTTGGGCAGAAGGATAGAGTGTAAGATAGCGAGACGTATAAAGTGAGACGAGCTAATAACTGAGACGAAGAACTACAAAGTTCAGTTCAGAAGATTAGGTAGTGAACTCAATTTAGGAACAAAAGAACCGACAAGAGGTCAGTGGATAGGTGGGTGGGTGGGTAAGTATGTGAGTAAAGCTAATAGTCCAAGGGAATAAGAATATGGTCTGACACTGGTAGTGGTAGTACTTTTCTGGTAGTTGAAAAGTAAAGCAGCACTAGCTGGAAGGTTGGCGCTGTTGTTTGTAGCTGGAGATGATGCTGGCGCCAAAACAGTGCCGAAAAGTGAAGTCCGTCGTTTTAAGAGATCAAAAAGATTACCGGTAAAGGAACAATGGGTAGGTGAAATAATAGAAGGGAAGTAGAAGGGAAATAAGTGGGAACATATGTACAAAGAAGGTACAGAAAAAGAAGAAGGGTAGATAGTGTAGATAGAACGAGAGTAGAGGATTATGTTGTGTTGTTGAAGGAGTTGGGCTGAAGAAGCTGCTCCAAATAAGAGAGAGAGAGAGAGAGAGAGAGAGAG